CAGGAAAGTTAATGGTTGTTATGCACTTACCGCCTACGACAAATGCCATCTGCATCTCTCAGAGAGAGAAAAGACACAGTAAATTTCTGTCGTTCTTCACTGAGCCAAAATATGGATATGGTCCTGGTACCATCGATCTATTTCTGAAGCGGATGGTAATTGGTGATGAAAAATAGATCACTTATAGCAGCATCAAACAGAAACGCTCGCGGCGAACTCAGAATAATGTTACCTATTGACATAAACGGGGTTAGGTCGTCGAAAGGGTGACAGCCTCGGGTCAACTCCAGTACGTAGAACCGTCTGCCTTCAGAGAACGCCATTCAGCAGGAGTCAGTCAATACCTTCAAAGACTCTATCCTGGGGAATGACGTGCTCGGAGTAAAATCACCACCCATAGAGGACAACGAGCACTCGATCCTCAGGTCTGGATACTGTAACAGGTTAAGCTCCTACTTATCCAGACATGACCTCAGCATATCCAACGCATGGCCTGCATGTGTAGAGTCTCCGCACGACACTAACCAACTCTTCACATGCCCCCTTAAACGAGCTCATCTAACCCCCTTTCTCCCGTCGAAACAACTCGGTTTCCTGGACATCCCATTAGATGACCTCGGCGACTTAGATTAATCAAACCTGTACCTAAGCGGGTTTAGCGAGCCGCTATAGCAGTGAGTCGGCACAAGTGGTTTCCAAGCCGGTATTGAAAGCCAGAAAGGTTTTTTTTGTGTTTTTGGTGGAATTAGCAAGGTATCCTCCACAATGAGCTACATTCCTATGGCCAAACAGCAGTGGAATTATGTTTCATCAAGACAACGCCAGTCGATAGAGGCTCACCAGATGCTCCGAGAGCTTGGTTGTGCGCCTCTCATGCATTCACCATATAGACTGGAGCTCACGCCAAGTGATTACCATCAATTCCTGCCTATGGCGAATGATTTTTGCTGATGAAGAATTGGTCTCAAGAGAGGTCTGTGAAAATCGTTGGTGCCAATTTTTTCACCAATTCTAAAAATGGTAAATTGTTCGCTTGAAGATTGCGTAAGCAATTAATGACAAGCGATACACAAAAAGTGCGTACTTCAATTTTTAACTATTTCATTGACAAGTTGTAAGCTACCAATTTACTGTAAACGCATACAAACGCATTTACATAATCCAAGTTTCAGTGTCAGTGCAATGACGTGGCAAAGCATTTTATGAGAAACTACTGGAACTTCAGCAATGGCAACAAAAATGTAATTACATACATATGTACATATGTCAAAGAGTATGTGTGTGTATGTGCACGATAATTTCAATGATGGTAGCAGCAACTGTTTAACGGTGTAGAAGAAAGAAACACTCAAGCCATTCAGTTGTCGTTTTTCTGTTCGATTGTGCGGGAATTTATTGAGGCTTTAGATTTTTTTTTTGTTTCCAGCAGCAAACATACATATCTACATATTATTTTTTGCATACAAATTCAAATAAATTTTTTTTCATATTTTATTTTTATAATTTTTTAATTAAAAAAAAAATTTTTTTTTTTTGGCTTTCAATAATTTTTTTTGTTCCTCTCATATCGCCACTATAATTAAATTTGACTTGATAGGGTTCCTTATTGTAAAGTTTTTAATTTTACGCTTGTCAAATTGTCCACTTGAATAATCCATTCTCCCAGCTGTACATATGTATGTACAATAAGTAAGCGAGGGGGCATACAAGTGCATGGCTTGTCCAATTACATGTCAGAATGCTGTAATGAGTGAGTTAGTAAATGTTTGTATGTATGTGTGTGTCTGCGTGTATTTATTGTTTTCATTCAAATATTCAAATTATGAAGATTGAGCGCCATTTAAACAGGCGCAGGCGGACAGTAAGTCTAGTCGTCGTTGCTGAAGACAGTTTAAACAACAACAACAACAACAAGAACAAAAACTGACTGAGTTGACTGATTGACTCTCGACTTTTACCATTTAACGTTTTGTTAGCTGCTGCTGTTTTCTTGTTGTTGTAAATCAATGATTCGGTGTTGAGTAGTGATTGAAAGAAGAAATTTTAGGGAGTTGAAAAGAAGATATTTAAACCAAAAAAATGTAGAATATCATTAAAAAAAAAATTAAAAATGTGAAAAAATGAAAGAGTTCAAAATAAGCGATTTGAAAAAATTGAAAAAAAAAAATTAAAAAAAAAATAAAAAAAATTTCAAAAAAAAAAATTTGAATTTTCGAAATTCACACGTGAGAACTCCATGCATCTATGTATGTAGATACATATGTATATATGTTGTATAAAGCATGTACATCTATAATTACTACGCTGTTAGTAAAGTGTTAGCTAAGAAAACACACACACACACACACATACACACACACACACACATACACACACACACACACACACACACACACACACACACACAAATACACACACACACACACACACATACATACACATACCCATACACACACAACTATTATATGCAGTCAGCTTTTGTTTGCTTGAAAAGCGTCAGCAATCACGAAGAATGTCAAAATTCTTTTAGTAAATTACTTTTTCCAAACGATTATTTGTTTTTTTGCTTTTTCTTGTTTTTGTTGTTGAGTTATTAATGTTCCATCGATGACTAGCATTATGGTAGCTGTTATAATTTGATTTTTATTGTCTGTTTTCAATTAACTTCGAAAATCATATTGTTTTTTTTTTTGCTGTGTTTTTGCTTTTGTTTTTGCTTTTGTAAATGAAAAAGCTTACCTTTCATCACTTGTACATTTTCTCTAGTTAAATGTTAAGAATTTGTTTCTTTTGTTGTATTTCTATGCTACGCATTTAGCGTTGTATGCGTTGATTGTTGGAACTAATCTTTAATATGTAAACAAGTTTAATCCAAAATTATTAAAAAAGGGTCCGTCATTGTGTGCGCATTTCATGCTTTTTCACGAGTTTAATGGCGCATGCTTTATTAAGTGACAAGCGTTGGCAACGCGAGTAAGCTTTATGCACGAGTGTGGTGGGCGAAACGTTAAGAGCCTGATGATCATCGTCTAAGGTTAGGAAAATTCAGCATTATGACCGACTTTGGCGAAAGGCGGAATATAAAAAGGGAATCCATTTTTTTTTGCCATAGTTAGAGCGATCCGCTTTACGTCATAGCTTTCACCGTTAACGTCTCAAAAGAAACACCTGCCTCTATTGGCAAAAAATTGGTATTCTCGATTTTCACAGGCTTCTCTTATGCCGGTGACAGAGGGTAATGAGCTATTTTGAGATTCCTTCTATAATTTGAATGCTGGTGACCAATCCAACCAAGCTCTCGTAGCTACTTAAAAGTCACTATCGATGTGTGTGGCCTAGCGCTGTCCTGGTGAAACACAATTCCCTTCCTGTTGATCAAATCTGTATGCTTCTGGGTGATAGCTTCCTTCAGACGGTGCAATTGCTGACAGTGTAAGTCCAAATTAAGAGCTTGCTGGTAGTGGAGCAGCCTATAGTAGATAATGATTCCTTGCCGATCCCACCAAATACACAGTAAAATATTTCTGGCCGTTAGTTCTGACTTAGATACCGCTTGTGCCGACTCACTGCTCTTCGAGCACGACCGCATCCACTTGATGTTTCCACCTGATGTTGCTGGAAGAGATTACCAGGCACCATCCGCTCCTCATAATAACCCGGCTCCGAGAATGCTCAAATAATTGAAGAGACGTCACTGATAAATGACTTTTTTTTGGCCCACAATTGAAGAACACGACTTGGACAGTATGTGGTTTCAACAAGATGATACTACACCCCACACAACTCGAGCGAATATGGTTTTATTGCGAGAGTAATTTCCTGGCCACGTTAACTCTCGCCTCGGCGATGTCAATTAGTCACCCAGATCGTGTGACCGTTGAAATATTTGTATTGTGAGGCTACGCGTAGCGTACTACGTAGCGTCGACTCGTTGAAAGTAGACGTTGCACAGATCAATACCAACCAATACCGGACATGAAAAATCATCAATCATCTCTCGATATCGCTAGAAACTATTCACCGCGACTGTTGCTTCAGCGTCGTTTTCGAAAAAGTGTGGTCTAATGACACCGCCGGACCATAAACCACACCAAACTGTTACATGTTGAGGAAGGAGGGACTTTTCAGCGATAAATCATGGAGTTTCCGAGGCTCAGATGCCACAGTTTTGCTTATTGACGTAGCCAACGAGGTGATCTCATTAGTCAAGATGATTTTTCGATGAAATTGTGGGACTTTTTCATGTACTTCAAGGACCAAATCTGCAAAAGCACGATAGAACTCACTTTATAAGCCTTAAGACCCTAGACTGCAAAGTAAGGTGTGGAATGCCCAATTCCAAAGAACGACGAAGAGCAATATTATCAGTTGTTCTTACGGGCCGTGGACGTGTTTTAATCTTCACATCACATATTCCAATCCCGGTACCAAGTTTAATAAAATGTTTATAAAGATTTTAAACTTTTTAAAAGAGATCTCGCCACCTTTCATTTAAGGGTTGTTTTTTTCGTGGGCCAAAAATAGTAGTAAAAAAAGAATTTCGTGAAAAAATTATTTAAATGCATTGTATTTTCATTTGTTTTCGAAACCACGAAATGCATAACCCTGCATATATATACCTTCCATTGCAATGATTTCTTCGTAGTTAAAAGATTCAACTCCTCTCCCAACAACCCTCACAAAATTGTTAACCTCACTTTTGTGAAAAAGCTTTACCTGAAATTATGACGCATCTACGAGCTTTTAAGCTTGAAAGCTTCAAAATCGTATAAGGAAATATTCAAGAATCGATTAAGGCTAGATTTAGGTGCAGTAATGCTGACAACAGTGAGGCTGACAAGTTTGTGAGGTCCGTTAGAATAGAGCTGCGGCATAAATTATTTTCTATTATTTTAATTAAATTTCAAGATTTAATTATTTTTAATTAAAATTGCAGTTAATTGCACTAAATTACATATACATACATATTATCTAATATATATCCTTTCATTGCAGTTTACTAATTTAATTTAGTATAACATTTTTCACTTACGAATAAACAGAGAATGATTGAAACAACGATTATTGCATTAAAGCTTGAAACTATTGCTTTTTTTCTTTTAGTACACACACGTCTACATACACGCTTCATTTCGAGAAATATCCATTTATCAGACTTACGAATCCTGCGTAGCGCCTTCAGCTTATGGCTAATGCTCACATAACCTCAACACCTTCCATCCTTCGTTACACCGTTACACTGTCTCCTCACTACACGTCCCGTCCTGTACCACCACATTTATCTCCTCATCCGAGTGCTTCGAGTGCGTCGAGTTCGTTGGCGATGGCGTCGGCGAATCCGTCAATGGTGAGTCACCACTAAGTGTGAGTAACTTTGGTTGTTGTTGTTGCTGCTGCTGCTGCTGATGCTGTTGCTGTGTAGCCGCAACATATTGCCGGGTGAAATTGAGCGCCAGCATTGCCTCGGACAGCGTCGGATTCGTTACTACCATTGAACGAAAAGCGCTATGCTCACCGCCCATTAATAATGGAACTGATGCTGTGGGCGATGGGTAGGCCACCGCTGAGGTGGCGTGTGGCAGATGTGGGAGAAGGGGCGTTTTTTTGCTCTTCGCAGTGTCGTGGTTGGGGTGATGTTGATGATGCAGCGCTTGGTGATATTGTTGCTGTTGTTGTTGTTGCAGTAGCGTTGATGTGTTGGAATTGTGTGACGTTATTGGTGTTGTTGCTGCTGCTGCTGCTGCTCCTGTTGGCGCTGATGTTGTCTGTGACGTCACCGATTGTTCTTTCAGACCTCCTATAGGGATGAAAGCGTTCACCAGCTTGTGTGTATAGTTCAACGTATGACTTGCCCCGCCCATTGACATGGTTTGGTAGTAAGCGTTTGTTGTAGGCGCTTTGTTGTTGTTGTATTTGGTTGGTGAATGTGCTCGCTGCATCATTGTGGCATTGCCGTGTGGTGAGCTGGATCGCCGCTGCCTCAGTTGACTGACACGCTGATGTCGGCGCCATTTCGCTCGTCTGTTGGAAAACCAAACCTAATTTTGATCAATACGAAGAATACAATTTGTTAGTTGGTAAAATGGTCTAGGAGTAAATTAACACGAGGTCGGGGGTAGAGGATGCAGTAGATTGGGTGGGAGGAGGAATCAGTGGAGAAGAGTGAATCTTAAGGGAGAGTTAGTAGCAGAAGAGGCTTAGAAAGTTGAGTAAGAGAGAGAGAGACAGAGAGAGAGAGAGAGAGAGAGAGAGAGAGAGAGAGAGAGAGAGAGACTGAGGAGGTGGAATAAATGTGTATAAGGAGAGGTGGGGATAATGTGAAGTAGGAAGGAAATGATTTTATGAAACTTTTCTTTAAAAATATGCCTAGATTAAAATACAGCTCAAGAAGAGGAGAGCAGAGGTTAATTAACACAGCCTTAGAGACATAACCTCAGTATAAAGAGCTCCCGAAACGTCTACAATCTACTCCTAGCCAAAAACACTGTGCACAACGCACCAGAGCTTACGTTCATCCAACGGCGAGCTTTAAAAATATCCACCCTAACAAAAGAATACTGTAGGTAGCAACCAAATTGACTCTAACCATGGCATCAGTTTTACAGTACTAGGTATTGGACCTTCTCCTTCACACGTTCACTGACTCCGAATGAAGTGTTCATGAGAGATCGGATCAATATCCTACGCACTACCATTGAATCAGGGTATGAAAGTAGACGGCGTACGATTGGAGTTCGATGTCAGGAGGAGATAAAGGCTGCTTTGCTAGGGGCTTTTGGTGAAGTAAACACAAAATGGAACATTACTATGACAGAAGAAGCGTCGCATTAAACCTCTGGAACTGCTGTAACGTACCGGTTTACAGGCTAGAATAACCTCAACAAAGACACCGGAAGTTCATCCTCGACATCAGATCAATTAAGCCACATTCAAATCTTTGGAGATTAGGTGTAGTGCGCTAATTTTTAAGGACATTTCTGAATACAAAAATTTATAAAAACCCTCGGTCTAAACATACGATTCGTCCGGGAAAAGGAAACCCTCTACCAAGTACAAACCAACTACTCTTATCCAGCAAAGAATGGGCTCTCATGGATGTAGAAGAAAAGGCGGAAGAGCAAGCTATTCCTGACGCCGCTGGTGAGGCTGCTATAATCGACTGCCTCAAACCTGGCAGCGGCTTTAAATATCGTCTAAGGTAGATGAAGGTACATTTGAAGTCCTGGAGGCCTTCCAAGATAGGACTTACCCCTAAAGTTTTTGTGGGCTGAACAATTTTGAGCGTATTGACGAGGCCTCCATTTTTGAGATATTGTTTTCATAAGTAAGGTAACGTGGAATGAGCTGAGTGCAGAGCAAGCTCAGAAGGTGCGAAATGCTGGAGCGCTAAATTTGCGAGTGCTCGGTCTTCAGCTGATTAAGACGTTAAATCTTGCCCGATGCCTCAACGCCAACTTTCGGAGACGGTCAGAGATTTTGTGTCAGCATTCGAAAAAGTTTTCTTTATTTGTACTTCTGACCACAAGGTAGGGATTGGACCGATGCTCGGCATCAACAAGCTCAACAAATCTTATAAGTTGCGGGCACCTGCGTTGATGTCAATGCTCAACCTAGACAACGAGCGATCATAATGGTAAAAAGTGAGAGAAAGTGTCCATGTTGGGATTCTTTCCGTTGGGCAGTCGTCTCTGACTACTTGTAGGACCTTCATCCTAAAAAAAAAAACCCACTACAAGTTCTAGGAAATAATTTTTGAGGATCCCCATGCTTAGTTGGTCTGAGACCACGTAGAATTTCGATTATGACTTCGGATGCTTTATTCATTAGTTTTTAAAAATCTTCAGTATGGTAGGTTAGTAAATTGTAAAGTTGAATCCAAACACAAACATAACAAACAAGAACCCTTTATATGAGGTCAGACCCCCCAGATTTCTTTAATTCTAAAAACAAATAGTGGTCAGCCGAATGTACCCACCTGCACACGAGCTTCACTCAAAGCCGTTCGCGCTGCCAGTTTCTCTCTCGTGCTGACACAAGGATAATGTGACTTCTCAAACTCCTTCTCTAGCTCATCCAATTGATCAGAGCTGAATGTGGTACGATTTCGACGAAATTTTGGCGTATCACTGTCATCGGTATCAGAATCTTCACCTTCAATATCTGCAATGATGACACAAGCAATCACAAGACTTCTTCAGTGCATCAGTTACCCTGTGAACTTACCTATCATCCGACTCGCATCGGGTGAGCCCAACGTCTCATGACTACCCGCACTGGGTGATACAGCTGGTACGGAAATATTGGAATGCGTCGGTGTTAGACTGCCGGGTGGTAAGCTATGCGTAAAACCAGTAGCACCTACACCCGCTGGTGCACCAGGCGACCATAGGTGGTGAGGCGGTGGTGGTGGTGGTGGTCCTGCCCATGCGGGAAAGCCGGGATGTGTAGGATGCATGTAAACATAACTGGTAGCACGTGCAAATTCAGCTGCTGCACGCTCGGCAGCACGATTGCGTAATATCCGATTGATGGAGGATACAGAGGGCGCTGTTGCGTTCGTGCAAACGCCTGGAAGATAAAAAGTTGAAAGTGTTAGAAACCATGGATTATAGGTTGATTACTTTGAGGCTTTCACTAACGTAAGCTCCTGGAGGTGAGGATATGAGCCTATCTTTAAGGGTCTTTGTAATAAACTACTCTGCGACTGCTGAGGTGGGGGTGCCATCAAGGATGAACAGAAGCCAGAGTGCTCCCTTTTCTGCATTGGATTTCGGTCCAACGGGAACCACTCACTAAGCAAAAAAGTGGCTTGAAGGTTATGGCCTTCCAAACGACGTAGCTCTCATTATTGACAAAAAAATATTAGAAAACCCTTGAAGTCTCAAGTACCGTGTGAAAGATAGCCAATCGTTCAAACGTTACATTGGCTCTTTGGTACCGTAATCAAATCGATTGGGTTTTATAGAGTCGCTATGAAAAATAACAAAAACAGCTGGAATGTATAGATACTTCATCATAGTCTCCACAGAGCATGAAGCCTCATACTCTATGCCTACCTAATTTCCTTAAAGCACTACACGTTGGGATGAACCTCTAGTAGCAAGCTGGATGATGATGATTGTGACCTTATGGATAAGTTTTCGGAAATTTACATTGGCTCTAGATGCGCTGGTGACAGCTATTAAGTAAGCTGTTTCAGAGCTTTGGCTGGATAGTTGGTTGGGTGTATGGAAGAGGATGCTGAGGACATGACCACAAGCGACCGCACCTAAGCCTTTGGGTATACTTATTTTCCTCCTCCGCTCATTTCAACTATGCATTTCCGAAAATTTCGTTCGATAAACCGCTTTAATTTCTTCCAACCCTACATGCACACCTCCGTAAGGGTGGAGCTGGGAGCATTGTGAAAGACATGACGTCGCCATCAGTTGAAGACCGCACACTTGCTAAGGTAGTTCAACGGCACTCTCTGTACTCAGCCGTTTCAACTTTACCTAGGTTGGGGGGTTAATACATCAGGGGTAGATGCCTCGCCAATGCACCCACAAAAATACTGAGTTTTCTTATTGCAACCTATCTGTCTACAATCCACGTTGTCCCACAATAATTTAGAGCTGCATCCCATGTTGGAAGTGTTCCAGGACCTTGAGTATTTGTCCATGAACCTTTGCTTTAGAAAACATGGTCATACTCCCTCCAGAGCAAACCAGCTCTCCGGCATTATTATTGTCTTCATATAGACCCCATTTATATTCACTGTGTTTTATCGGTACAGTCTATTCTATACATGCTCTACCATACTTCGACTTTGCGTTGATCCTTAGCTCTCTACCAAAAACCTCAGAGCTTTACCAATTAAAGCGGCTGTCCATTTGGCATCCTCAGTAGTGCTCACAATCTTTGCTTGGAAGGCAGAGTACTCCTCATTGAATTTGAAGCCTGCACCTTGCTTATTGGGGTGGCCTCGGAAGAACCGTCCTTCTGTGTCTATCTCGGACTTTTGACCCATCAGTTGGATATGGTAATTTTCACTGTTACTAATAGGTTCGCCTTCCGTGTATTTTTTCCTGCGAGGATTTTGGTTTCGCGGTCCAATTTCTGCTATAATTTTTTTATGTTTTAATAGCCTACACAATTAGAGGATTGGACCTAAGCTTCTGTTGAATATCAATTGGCCGGTGCTTTTGTTGAGTACTCATCAGTCCAATTATACCAAGCTTTGTTAAGCAATCTTTGACCTACTCTAGAAGCTGCCTGAGGATGAATTAGAGCTTTAGGAAAAAGTGTTGGAAGAAACTCTATGACTTCCGGTCACTGCAAATCAGAAAGCTTTTGCAGTAGTTGACTTTTCTCTTCGGACAGCGTACGGTTATCTATTAATAGTGGATTAACACTCTAGGGAATTCAATCTAGATATATTTCTCACTGATTCCTTTGTACTCCTGGATAATCTTATGTCAACTGAAGGAGCTTTGGACTTTTATTAGGACACTTATGTTATCCTTTCGGCACTGCTTCGAACTCGGACGTTGCAGGTAGCCTCTTGAGCTCACTTTGTAACACTCTTCGCATCTGCTAGATGCTTTGAGTGATTCTTGCTCGGATGATATGAATATATTCAGAAAAGTTGAAAATTTTATTTGTCTTGATTACGAAAGCTCCCTTCAATAATAAAAGCGTATTTGGTGTGAAAGCTTCCGCTTTAATGAAAGCTACTTCGCTTTGAAATCGAAAATCTAATCGAAACTACGAAAGTAAATCCCACTGCACAGCTTCAGCCGACGGAAGAAATATTTCAGTGCCTAAAACAAATCGCAGTTCGGAAAAAAATGTAATTTATTTACAGGAAGCTCGAAGTAGTAGCTGTTGTAGTTAAGTTTAATTGCAATTGACATTACCAGGTACCAGAGCGGAGTCCGACTGCTAGCTTTAATTACAAACAAACAGTAAAAGAACTCAAGCAGCATGAAGGAATAAGATGGGAAAGATGTGTGTACGAAGCTTCAGTTCAACCTAGTCAACCAGCCAGCCAGCCAGCCATTCAGTCAGCCACGACTACGACGAGACTACAATTTGATGTGAACGATCGATATCAAAACCAATTTGAATGTAGTGACTGACTAAATGTCAAGTTCGAAGAAGAAGTACGCGCGCCTAGGCATGAGGGGATGACGACCAAATGAGTGCAGTTAATAGCGAGGTAAGCAATGAGGAAACATGAATGGCGAAGACTACCAAACGGAGAGAACTTTTTTGAGATGATCTTTACGCTGTCGTCATTGATGTTTCTGGCTGCTGCTGCTGCGGCGACTGTTACTGTGGCACGCTGACCAAGCGATTGTTGTGACAGCTGCGTAGTCGAAACAGCGGTTGGGAGTGATGCGGAGTGTAGTGGACACACGAAGAAAGGAAAAAGAAGGCAAGAGAACCATAACCAGAGGCAGGTCGGTCAGTGACGAACACATTGATTGCGATTGAGCCGCATTTACATATCAATCTTTCCGCATACGAAACGCGTGTCTTTACTTATGTCTATCTATCTATTGTTGTTGTTGCTGTTGTTGCTCCTGCATTTTAGTTGCTTCTGCAAGTTTTAGAATAACGCTACGCGTTGGATTGTGCAGTTCAACCCTCCGGCTTGCGTATTTCGCATTTACGTACGCGTCTGCGCCTGATTACGACTCTATGGCGTCCGGATGCTAATAAATTAGACTATCGATAAATCTGCGAAGTGCAACAATACATTACATTTGCTCTGGCTCCTCAACGTAATCAATGTGCGGTATGTATATACAGGAGGAAGCATTTATTTGGTCGCCGTGTCGCGCACAGTCCATAAATACATCAGAAACCCTAACCGACCACCAGCACCGGTATTTGGCGGTGGCAGCGGTGGACGTGGTGTTGTCGCAGCGGTGAGTGCGTAACTCTCCGTCAAAAGCGTTGGGATTACAGCGCGCCAGCGTGTATTTATACATATTTGTCTGCGTGTGTGTGGCTCTGGCTGTAATCGCGATTCATTCGCAATTTGTTTGGCCAATCATTTTGGTCGCAACTCTTCTTCTGGGGGGTTGACGGCGTCAGTTAATGAGGCAAACCATCAACCACGGGCAAGTCAAGTCAAGTCGAGCCAAGACGAGTCAACAAAAAAATAAACAAGTAAAAGAAAAAGAAACCAATGCCGTTTGGCTGGTCAATCGCGCAGGTAAGCCTGGTAGGAAGGTAGGCAGGTAGGCAGGCAGGCAGCCAGTCACTCATTGGTTTTACGTTGCGCACCCACAGAGACGATTTGTGTCTTACAAATTTATATCTTGTGCGTTTAAAAATGTATATGTATATGCGTACTCACCTTCCGATATCAGTCGTTCGCGTATTTCCCACGCAAATATGGTTGGATTATCGCATTTGTATTGCTCGATTTTCGAGACGACAGCGGGCGTCGCAACTTTCGGCTTTGATCCGCCGATTAAGCCAGGTGGCCTCAGCGTACCTGCAATTAATGAAATTAAACAGATATGAACATGAATAATCACACGGCGTAACTAGTTGGTGGATGCTTCGGAGTTTTGGGGCTGATATGCAGTGGATTTTTGGATTCGCCGTGGAGATTTGGGTATAGATAAAAATTATTTAAAATAAACTTAAAAACAAAAGAAGACACAACAATGTAGAGGAGGAAAAGGAGAAGGAAGAAAAGGGGATGAGGAAGAAAGAAAATACGGAAGAAGAGGAAGAGGATAAGGAAGAAAAGGAAGAGGTGGAGGATAAGGAAGAAGAGACGGATGCGGAGGAGGAGGAGGAGGAGGAGGGGAAAGAAAAAGAAGAAGAGGGGATGAGGAAAAAATATGGAAAAAGAGGAAGAGGAGGAGAATAAGGAAGAAGAGGAGTTGGAAGAAAATGAAGATTAGGAGGAAAAGGAAGAAGAGGCGGATGCGGAAAGGGAGGAGGTCGGGAGGATAAGGAAGAAGGCGAAGTTGAGGAAGAAGAGGAGATGAGGAAGAAGAAGGGGGGGGGGGTGTGCAAGGCGAAGAACAGTAAGATGAGAAGGTAAAACGGGGGAGCAATAGTCAATGGCGGTAGCACGCGATCAGGTCTTTAATCTCTTGTCTCAATCTCTTCTCTTGAACCAACTGATCCATTGTTACCATTGTCCCCTATTTTATGGTATAGTACTTAATGGGTATTGCTCCTCTTACACTAAGCGGTTCCCTAACCTCGTCTCATATTCTATGGCTTAGTACCTAGTTGTTGTTCTTATACTAAGCGGTTTCCTAGCCTTTTTCGGGAACTGGCAAAGGTAGTGCATGTCATTGCGTTTATGTGGCACAGGCAGCGAAGTGTTTCAATGCGACTCTCAATACATCCCCCTCTACGCACCCGAGTTGACTCGAATGATTTCAACCGGCCAACGGTTGTTTCCATTTCGGCGGCCTAACCTCGTTTAGGTCACCAGGTAACACCAAATGCTGCTTTGAGATCTAGATATTGCGGTCGACTTGATTCTTACTTGTGCCCGAAATACCAAATGTATGCTCTGCATACAATGAGACCACGTCCAGACATTAACTACCTCTTTACATGGCCCCTAAAACCAACTCATCTAATCCCTCTCTCCCTCTAGCCGAAACCGTTTCTGAACCTTTCATTCGTTGACCGAGATGACTAGTCTCTCCTGTTCCTCATGTTGATTAACAACAACAAAAAAAGCAGCTCCTTCAACGGGTTGGTTGAACGAAAGGGAGTGAGGTTAGATGAATCGGTTTAAGCGAAATGTCAAGTGTTGGTTGGCGTCATGCGGGAACTCATACCCAATTTATGTCCAGCTGGTTATATCGAGGTCGAGTATAGATAAGTAGAAGTTTACTCGGTCATGATTCGCGATAAGTTTTTGTTGGTGGGATGGTGGAAGGTTTTTTTTTCTTGAGACTCTATGATTTGGGCACAGTTTCTCTGAACGTTTCATCTAAGCTGCAAATGAAGCAGAATTTCCTAGCATCTTTACAGCTTACTGCTTTTGAAAGTCTTCTTTTTAGAGAAGCGTGTGCCTTACAAGTATCAGATTGCACATTTTCTAAGCCAAGATCGCTGTATTTCGAATATGCAATCACTTTATTAATTTATATGTCATAATCAGGGCAGATTGAAACTAGCGACGACCAAAAACGCGTGAAAAGTTGAATACTCAATAAGCAATAACCATGTTGGTATCGAATTCGTCAAATCAACTTTGCATATGTCATGTGGGTGAGATTTGCGGTTAAATGCGCTACTGTTTGGTGGTTTAAATATTGAATAACAATCTGATTTTGACTAATGTTAATTTTTTTATGAATATGGTTTAAATTATTTAAAACAAAACCAAGCAAAGCGATCTTCAGCCCATTGAACGAAGCGAAACCCCCTACGGATGGATATGATGCTTCAGTTCTTGCACCAATTTAACTTTATATGCTTTATACCGGGGTCTTCCTTTGGAAAATCTTGCGCAAAGAAATTTGTGAAAAGTTTACTCCCTGCGAGTCACAGCTGTAATATTTTTGTGTACACGTACTGGATGAACACATACCCGAGTTGTTTCGTCCGTTAACAGAGAACCGCATTGGGGAGCTCGTTGCACAAATTTATCTACAAACCGACCAACTCACCTAACTCGCCTTACTGTCAGCGGGCGAAAGATTTTCACGTAAAATAATGACCTATCAATCATTTGGAATACCGCCGGGGCTGGTGCTTTTCAATTGTGGTCGACATAATCGTCCGACAGAGTCGATAATTCTAACCGAAGACGCTATTGTTGTTTTGGAGATGAGTTTCGAAGAAAATGAAAGAGTTTGCGGACTTAAAAAATCCAATTCTTTCGCACAAAACTATCCTTTGTGCGGTTATTTGAAGTCGCTTGTCTACGCAGTCCAGCCCGAGACGATTGATGTCTAGGAAGAGAATATATTATTGCTGGCATACATCCAGAGTTTCTGTAAAGAGTGGCTAATAGTTGGCAAGGGGTCACTTCATCTAGATCATTTTTGAAACATCAAGATTTTATTTTGATTTATTTGATTTTATTATTTTTGTTATTTTTTTATTTTATTTTCATTTTATCTAATATTTTGTTTTAACTTATTTTAATACATTTCATTTTGTTTAATTCAATTTTATGAAATTTCATTTTATTTTATTTTAGTTCGTTTTATTATTTTCTTTTTTATAGCTATTTTTGTTTTATTTTACTTTCCTTTATTTGATTTAATTTCAATTCATTTTTAAAATTTAATTTAAATAGTTAACTTCAATTTTGTTTTGTTTTATTTTAATTTATATTATTTAATTTTATTTTAATTTTATAAATTTTATTAATATTTTTATTTAATTTAATGTGATTTAATTTAACTGTGTTTTATATCATTTCACTCGTTTCTTTTTGTCATTTTATTTTAATTTATATTTTTTAATTTAATACAATTTAATTTGATTTTATCTTATTTTATTTTATTTACTTTGCTTCATTTTATGTATGTTTATTTTTTGATTTACGTATTGAAAATTTAATTTAATTTTTTTATTTAATTTCATCTTGTTTTGTTTTAATTTAATTTGATTAGGTTTTATTGTATTTAATTTGATTTATTTTATTTCATTTCATTTCGCTTCATTTTGTTTTATTTTATTTTATTTTATTTTATTTAAATTAATTTTATTTTATTTTATTTTACTTTATTTTATTTTGTTTTATTTTAATTTATTTAACTTTATTTTATTTATTATTCATACTTATATTCATATTATCTTATTTTCAATAATATTTTATTATTTTATATTTATGAATCATATTTTATTTTATTTCATTTCACTAAATTTTATTTGATACATTTTAATATTTTTTTATTATATAGCGTTTCATGTTGTTCCGTTTTGTCTTGGTTTACTTTAATTTATTTTATATTAATTTATTTTATTTTATGTTATCTTCTACTATTTTATTTAATTTTTATAAATTTTATTATTTTTTTTTTATTACTTTTAATTTGGTTTATTTATTTTCGTTTGATTTAATTTAATTAATTTAGTTTTGTTTTATTTTTATAATCTCTTTTCGTTTTATATATATATATATATTTTAAATTTATTTTATTTTAATTTCATTTAGTTTCGTTTTTTTATTTTGTATTAACTTATTTTATTTTATCTTCTACTATAATTTTAATTTTATTACTTTTACTTTATTTTCATTTGATTTAATTTAATTTAGTTTTGTTTTATTTTTATAATTTCGTTTTGTTTTTATATATATATTTTAAATTTATTTTATTTTAATTTAATTCAATTTAATTTTAATGTTTTTAAATCATTTCATTTTGTTTTCCTTTATTTTATTTTACTTTATTTAATCTTTTTTTATATTATCCTAATCTTAGTTTATTTAATTTAATTTTAATTATATTTTAATTTTAATTTTGTTTTAAATTTATTTAATTTTTATTTAAATTTTATTTAATTTTAATTTTATTTAATTTTAATTTTATTTTTAATTTTAATTTTAATTTTAATTTTAATTTTAATTTTAATTTTAATTTTAATTTTAATTTTAATTTTATTTTAACATTATTTATTAAAAAAAAAACTTTTTAAGCGCACTGCCGACCTTCAGCAATACAATACAATTTTAATTTAAATTTCGCGCCTGCAGCATTGTAACGAACTTTCCGCTAATTTAAAGTGTGATTTATTTATTTTTTTGCTTTTGTAATACAAATAGCTTTTGGGCGAATAGAACAATAAATAAGCAAAATACTAATTTACCCGTATTTTAATTGTTTTCGATTTTTTTCTGGTACAAAGCTTTCGGTTGTTTTCATCTTTTTAGCGGTTTTATGCAATGCTATCAGTGGCAATCCAATTACCAAGCACAAACATACATACATGCATATGTATGCACATATTTACTTTCGGCCTTTTTTTCTTGTTGTTCTTTTTCGCTTATTTACACAGCATTTGCTTAGTAATTTGCGCAAACAACGTGCTTCTAACCAATTTGTTCGCACAATTCAATATCTCAATGACACATTTCAATGGCTATATATGTATGTATTTGTATATACGAGTATGTATGTAGATATATGAGCAATTTGTTTGCGAAAGCTGACTTGCTTAATCGCTAACGCCGCCACCAAAGCCACAATGAGTTAAAAGTGCCGCTAGGTAAAGTTACGGCGACCGAAGCGTTGCTTTCAAACAGTAATAAATACATAAAGAAGTACTAAACAAACATATCATACATACATATGTATGTATGTATGTACATTCATGTGTATAACAACACCAATCGAACGCAAACGGCATAATTATGTATATTTATGTATTTTCATATATATGTACATACTATTTGTGTACCTTGCCTACCTGCATCTCCGTCATACATACATCCATATGTTGTTGGCACTAACGTCCGTCCGTCCGTCCGTCTGTCCGTCCACTGAGTAAATGATAACTCATCGGAAGCTGTTGACAGCCGATTATTTGTATTTCAAATTACGCAAATGACAACAGCAACAGTAACAACAGAAAAAAAAACAATAACAACAGCAACAAAACAAAAACACTTGTGAATATTGGGGAAAAAATAAATGCAAAGTGTAAACATTGTCATTGCAATAGTTGCAATTGATACTGATGTCGCCGCCGCTGCTGTGTAATTACAAATATGCAAATACTTACAACAACAAACCGCACAGTAATTTGTAGAGAGAGATAAATCGCCGCCGCCGGAAGTTCTGTTTCGCACTAAATATAAGTATGTGCCGCAACTAGACAATAATAACATGCATCGCAACAACAATAACAACAATAACAGCAGCAGCACTAACTAAACATATGCACATACACAGTAAATATACAAATGTATGTAGGTGTATGTATGTAGTATGCATGAAAGTACAATCTGCTTATGATTTTAATCAGTAAAAACATCTGGTAAAAATAGAAAAAAAAAATAAAAAATAAAATAAAAATTTCAATAATAATAATTACGTGAATGACTACGGGCATTCTCATTCGCTCGCCCGCCGCACTCACCACAATATTCACTCGCCACCCGTTTCATTCATCCATACATTCATTCATTCATTCATTCATCTGTCCATGCCGTTGAAACATTCATTCGCATTGCCAACTAAACCGAAAAAAAAACAAAACAAAACACATTTCTGGCATTTATTACAATCGCTGACTTTTTTTTGCGCTGTTGCTGTTGTTATTGTTGTGTATTGTGCGGTAGCCGCAGCTGGTAATTATAGTCAACAATTAGAAATCAGATTAAACGATTAAAATTATGTGAAATATGTACATATATACATACGAGTATATGACGAGCGATTGCGAATTCACGCTGAGAAAAGTGTACCACATACAAATGTATGTATTACACTTAAGTATGTATGTATTGTGGAATTGGAATTGGAAATTTTTAATGTCGTGCGGGAAATATTCACTGGCTGATTGTGTGTAATTTGCAATCACATAAACAATTAGTTTTACTACAGCGAAGTGATATTTTGCCTAGATTTGTCAGCTCAAACAAAAAAAAAAAAAACAAAAACAACAAAAAAATATTAAAAATAAAATTCAAATAATTTTTAGCTAGCTTAGTTGGTTTCTCCAGGGTTTTCGAAAGATGAACTGGCAAAACGAACGAAAACCAAACTCTACTCGTACAAGTCCCTCATCACTCTCGTCCTCACATACGTTGAGAAGCGTGGACGATGAGGCCGCCTTGGGAGTCTACGAGAGAAAGGAATACCTCAGACCATGCTCCGAAAGAACTGTAGGAGTTATACGATGACATTGAATGACATAGAATGAAGAGAATATGACTAGGCTGGCTAGATCATGTCGTCCGAACGAATGAAAGCGCTCCAGCTGGCGGAAGCAGTGAACGGGGAAGACCTACATACTGTTAGAAGCATCATGTGGAGAGCAATCTGCTTTCACTTGGTATTTTCAACAGGTGCCAAGCAGCAAAGAGAAGGAACGAATGTTACACTATTGTTAATTCGGTTATAATCGAGTAAGCGCAGCCAACGCCAATGGGAATTAGACGTTGTGTAGGACGCCAAAGCATTATGCAAAGCTCAAGCGGCACTTGTTATTAGTTTTTAAAATATCTCCAGAGCTAGGTAAACACAAAGTAGATATTCCTGCATACCTCTCTGAACTTCCTATATTGTATGCCGCCAAGGCATTCCACCTCGCCCTGAGCCGTATTTCAGCAATCTCGGTGATTGCATTTATAGTTATTAGCAATTTTCGTATATAGTGTACTGGTTTGGTCGTCAAGGCTTGGATTTCACTTTTTACAAAGACAAAATCAACAAGTTTGTTCCCCGTAATACTCTCGTGTCCTGAAACCTAGTAGATATGCAGTTAGTATTCTGCTGTCACCTTAACCCTGCTTCCAAGAAGTTTATATATAACTTATATGTTGGTGTTTTGCATGTGGTTTCCTGCAAAGTCAACTAGCTAGGTGGTTTTCTTGCCGCGAAGACTCCCAGCTGGAAAATATTGCAGTACATTGAAAGCTTGAAGGGTTAACTGTAATTTAGCTCCGAGCAATAGTTACCGGCGCCCACTTCGTAACACCATCCAGGTCTGTAGTTTTTGGGAAATGGTTCGGGAGTGACAGAACCGACTATCGCGAGAATTTTTGCATTTTAGTCGCCTTTTGTGACAGTCATGGCTTACGGCGCAGACATTTTTGAACATATACTCTACATGTCCAGATCTCGAACCGTATAGTGAAACAGTTTATCTAAATTTTAAAGCAGTTTTTCACTGGGTGGCCTAACCTGTAGTGATACCCCGACAAACCTAACGTATGTCCAGCATGTAACCAATTCTTGCATGGCACTTATCACCTCTTTACATGCCCCCAAAAACCAACACATCTAACCCCACTCTAACTTTGGTTCGAGCTCGTCGGAACAGCTCGTTACTTGGACCTCCCGTTAGATAACTTCTGTGAGTTGGATTAACCAGCCCGTTCCTAAGTGGGGTTTATAAAGTTGAGAGGTATTGGTATTGAAGGCTAGGATTAAAGTGGTGCCAATTATCGTACTGATACTGATGAAGAACGTACGCTGCACAGATACTAGTTGTTTAGTTAGTGTTGCTGACTCGAGCGCCTTCCACGAGAACAATATCGCAGGGAACATATGCGGGTTCATAGAGGAACTCTACTAAACTGAACCTTGTGTAGCGAACCCTTTCGATTACCAATATTAATTGTAAGCCGACTTTTGCCCGATCTGCTTGAACTTCGGTCTCCAAGACAGTTTTGGGGATTACCCATAAGTAGCTGGCTTTGTCAGCTAGCTATAGTCGCACTCGTCTCAATCGGGTAGAAATGCAACCGGAATAGTTTTAACTCGCGATTTATTCGCCGCAGTAGCGAAGTTGCTTACTGTGCGTAATACCAGCAAGGAACGCCGACCCCTACGTGTGTATTTTTGATACGAAATAAAAAAAAGGTACTCATAAAATGTCTAACAGCTGTTCGGAGGCGGCATAGAAAGAACTGTAGGTCCTTCCGGTTGTTGGAAGGAGATCAACGGAACATAGCTGTTACAAAGCGTTTAGCGAGCCTCTTTCGTGTCGCCCAATCACCTAGATTTCTAGCGCGGGTATCACTGGATCAGTAGGATCAATATAGACAAAGCAGGTAGAAGGAACTTGGAGTCATTATCTTCTTATATCACATCAAACAATCACTTACCCAGTAACTTAGAGACAGCGCCTTGTTGCGTCAGCATGTGTTGAGCCAAATCATAGCCACGCAAACCGAACCGAGAGAGTTCCAACAGTCGATGCTGCGACATCAGCGCGTTGAGCGTTGAATGCGAAGCCGGATGAGCATTTGCGAAGATACCGCTCAAACTTGAAGCGTTCGCAATACCCGACGGTAAGGCGGCAGGCGGAGGAGCGGCTGGGAGACCAACTGCAAAGAGGGAAGAAAGCAGAGAAAGCAAGTAAAAGAAATTAGTGAAATGTTGAAAAGAAATGATAAAATTACACACTAATTGTTTGGAAGGCTCTATAAATCGAACGCAGAGAGAGAGAGAGAAAGAAAAAAATGTGTCAATGCGCTTGCAATTTGTGCAAAGTGTGAAACCGCATAGGCCAACGCTACGACTTGCGTACGCACTTCTTTTGTTTTTGTACAGCGCAAAGATGCGAACAAAAGTTTAATTTGCTTTTACTTGGAATTTAAACGAGGCATCACACAGAAATTCCGCACATTGCGCGCCAACACCATCAACTTGTGCGCAACAAATTTGTTCCGTTGCACTGTCAACACAATTACCTTTGAAGTTGTTGCAACTGTTGCACACACACACACACACACACACACCTCAGACATGACAACAACCTAGAGGAGTGCATGGACGAAAATAAAAAACGTGTGGCGGCGGTTAAAGATCGACAAGCAGGCAAGGGAGTGTAAGTGTAAGGAGCTCCGAGTGCCTTGAGTAAACAAGCAAAGTACAAAAACCAGAAAGAAGCTGGAAAAAAGTACGAAAAAGGGTAAAAAAGTCGGACGCATCGCACAAAATAATCGATACGTGATCATGGCTTGACGAGTTGACGAGCCGCTAACGTGTCATATATGGGCATAATAGAGTGCTGGTCATCAACAGCACAGCACAGCACAGCATAACGTCAACGCGCCACATATGTACATATGTTTGTATATACTATTTGTAGCTCGTCACTTGAGATCGATCGCCGCCACTCACTAGCAACTCATCACCATCACCATCATCATCATAATCACCGTCCAATGTGCGCATGTCACAGTCCCGGGTGGCTGGTCCGATAACACTTCGAAGCAACACTTTCGTCATAAGCACTCATTACATAGACGATGAGATTGACCGTTTAGTTGGTAGCACTTCACTACAATTTCCACCTTTTCCAACAAACGGCGGCGGTCTTATCAATTCGACGCACACACAGCACAGCACAGCACAGTACAGAGGCATGCGGCCACCAGGCCAACGCGTACGTACGTAGTCATGTTTTCGGTGCTAATTTCATCACTTGCTCGGAATTTGAAGTATTCCTGACAAGTTCCAAATACCGACGGACTTCGTCGATCAACTCATTGTCATTATTGCATGGCAGTTGCCCAACATGCACACACACACACACACAGACATTTGTGTGCTACCACAAACCACCGGCAAAGCCCAACCAATCTACGAGCTCAGCAGTCAGTGTATGCGCTAAGCTTGCTTGATAGGGCCATCCATACACGTACAATCACACATTGCCACGGCTGGCTATAGATATGGGTTGGGCAGCAAGCGGCCGCTGGTACGCTGTTCAGATGCGAGTAATTTAGTAATTCCTGCAATGTAGAAGCTTTTATGTACAATTTGACATTTTATCTGATCGCAAGAACTGCTCACATTTTAACACTTTTTTGCCCAATTCACCAACACGGTCTGGCTGGCTGTTCGGCTGTTGGCTGCCTCTTGGCTGTTGGGCATCTTGCTCGTCTTGGACGCTTGAATGCTTGGATGCTTGGCTACTGTGTGCTTGGCTTTGGCTTGCTCGTGCATTTCTTACTTTTGCCGCATTTGTCGCATGAATGATCTGTGCAATGCAGTTGTTGGAAATTCCACGGCTTGACGCGTCTCAAGTCGTCATCGTCATCGTCATCGCCGTCGTTATCGCCGTCTCAGTCGGTATAAGGAGGGCAAATGTGCATTGTTGGCGATTTTCTGCAAGTTTTTTTGTTTGCACAAAAGTTTTCATTTTGGCTTGTATGTGCTCGTATTTATGTATGTATGTATGTATGTATGTATGTATGTATGTATGTATAGGATTTATGGCGGTGTACATATTTTTCAAATAGACTGAATTTTGTTTATATTGGCTATGCTTAACATGGTCAGGGAATTTTTTGGAAATTATGGTTCATTGGCTGACGTGCTTGGAGTTATCTGTGTCCCAAACGGATACTAAAATACCTGAAATATATTAAAATAGTGTGCATGGCTGCAGTGGAGCTTAGCCATAATAACTCTGTACCCTTTACTTTTCTATAACAAGACAAAAAAATTTCGTTCGAAAGACTAAAGCGCACTGTCAACAATGTGGAAAGGACACGAGCACAGAGGAATAGCACACCCCACCTCTTCGTCGATTTTAAAGCTGCCTTTGACAGCACGAAAACGAGGTTATTCCCGCTGTGAAAACTGACGTTGAGCAACACCAAAAGCTCCGAACCCCTCCGAGATCTTCGTTACCAAACGAGGTTTCAGACAGGCTGACTCTCTGTCGTGTGACTGCCTTAACTTTTTGCCGGTGAAAATAGTGCGTGCTGCAGTGCTGGAAAGAGAAGGTAAAATCGTCTATAAGACTGTACAGCTGCTGGCGTACGTCGAGAATATTAACATTATTGGCATCACAAACCGCGCCGTGAGTTCCCGTGAGCTCTGCTTTCTCCAGACTGAATAAGGAAGCGAGACGAATGGGTCTGTTAGAGAATAAGAGCACGACGAAATATCTCTTGCCATCAAACAAATAGTCATCCCATTCGCTACTCGGCCTTCACGTCACTGTTCACAGTCATAACTTTGAGGTCGCAGATAATTTAGTCTCTCTTGAAACCAGTATTAACACCAACAACAATGTCAGCCTGGAAATCTCACGCAGAATCATTCTTGCCAACAGGACTGTGCAGACAATTGAAAAGTAAAGTCCTCTCTCGGCGAACGAAAACCAAACTCTACAAGTCACTCATCGTTCCCGTCCTGCTATATGGTGCGGAAGCATGGATGATGACAACATCTAATGTATCGGCGTTAGGAGTTTTCGAGAGAAAGATTTTGCGTAAGATTCATGGTTTGTTTATATTCGCGTAAGCCAGTAAAGAAGAGAGAGGCCCTTCAGAGGTAGGGAAACGAAAATTAATAAATATCCGCAGAACAGTTGGAGCGCACATCGAATAGATTGCCCGGACCGAGAAGAGTGATGGCAATGGTGTTTCAAATTAAGCTTTCTCCTAAAGTAGACAGTGTACTAGATATCCATAGTCAAGACTATCTTTCTTTAAAGAGTTTTCGTATGGTAAAAGTCGCTAGAAGAGGAGTTTGCTTCAGCTAAATCTTTCCACATACGACTTACGTTAACATCGCTTCGAAGGCTGGTTTCTGTGAGACAGGCCAACAATAACACAGGCAGCCTATCGGGTATTATGGTCTTAGACTCTCTGACGATGAGAGATATGACCCGCTCGTCACGCTGACTATACCGGAATTAGAATCATATTTAAAGTTCAAAAGGCCGCTTTCTGCGGCCGCCCCCGAACTCCCATTCGAAATTTGTAGTCCCAAATGGAGGTCGATTTTATTGCGGTCTTCGGATAGGAAGAAGTTCAAGAGAGCCTTAAGATCTAACTTTGTATCCTCCTCTAGTCCTTTGAACTGCGAAGCTCTGATATGTCTAATATAAGTGCTGGCAAAGGCCGGACAGAAAAAGAGAGGAAGTGCTCTAACATCTCACGTATGCCGTTATTAGTCCTAGTCTAGTTTTTCATGTCAAAACGTTCCATATCACTCTGATCCGGCACCCAGCTTGAACATACCTTGAAACCTTCTTTTATAGATAAGGCGTGGGGTTATTTGGCCTATTTCCACTCCCCTTTCTTCCCCCTATATATCGAGCTGCGTCCGAAAGTTCCAGCAGAGATTACGAAGCAAAAATTACGAATAAATACAAAAAGAATTTGGTTTTCTGGTCAACTCACCGCACTTTTGTCAATCCGCTCGTATACATGTATGTACTACATACTACCAATACATGTGTATACATTTTGCACCGATTAAGTGAAGGCGCTTGAGTGAGACCGGCAAGATTTTATTTATGGCAAGAGAACGCAATGATTTATTTCCTCAATGAAAACTCGCCACTCTAATTTTAATCAGCTGCTCAGTGGTCAAGTGGACATAGTTACCGCTGCTGTTGTGGCCTGCAAAAGATGCGAATGTATCACATAAATACATATATGTGTATGTGCGTTGGTATATACGGTATGCGCATTCCATTCCAAGTACCAACTAGGCTTAGCACATTTGAGTCTAATGTGTGGCAAAGCAATGCATATTTCACACTTGCCACAAACGGCAACGGCAACGGGAGCGGCAGACGCGCGCTGCCACGCTACCATATTCAAGTGCATCGATGTTTTTGCGCGCAAACGAAAGTATGTTTGTGCGTTAAGTAGGCGTATGAGCGCTTACCATTATTATACATACATATATTTATTTATTTATTTATTGCGCCTTTTTTCCTGCTTGCACAGCCAATTTGTTGCTGCAACATGTTTGGTCAATTGGATTGTTCACAAGTATTCCTTGATTTATGCCGCAAACGAGCAGCGTTGCGTAGCGTCTAACCAATCCACCAGCCGCGCCAACAACGGATAAACCAACCCACCGACCGACGGAGCGACTAAGTGACAAAGCGTGCGACTGCGCGCAATGCAATGCGCTGCACACGGTTCCGCATTGCTTTGCCCACAAAGTGTGTGAGTGAGCGCATTTTGGCGAAGCGCCTCATCTTTGCGCGCTTAAGGCATGAATGCCAAGTTCATATGGTTGGCGGATGATTTATCCGCGCATTTATGAGCAAAGGCGCGTACGTCTGCATGCGCGGTAAAGCAGCAAAAAAAAAATATAAATAAAAGGAAAACAAGCATTCACCGCGTTTACGCCGCGCGCGCGCTCTGCATGTGGAATGTTCATTTCAGTGAATCGTTAAATCGGCTTAAACGGCAACACCGTCAGCCAGCAGTGCAAATGCAATTGGCACAGTTCGCGCAAAAAACTGTGGTCGCAGTCGACGCAGGCGCACAATATGGTCGACAGCCACTCGCGATCAGCTACGGTTGTTGTAATCGTTTCGCCAGCTGACAAGCTTACACGCATC